ACACAGCGGATTTATATCTTTTTGCAGCCGTTGAGGAATAGAAATGTATTTAAATGAGTTTTTGAGCCGAGAGTTCCGCTTTATTCGGTGTGACTCCGGATACCGCAGACCCAACTGTAGCCGTCATGGGAGAGTCTCATTCCTTCTGCTCAAACTATGAAACATTCAGCAGGAGGAGGGAGACTGCAGGGTGAGAGTGATCTGGGGGGTTCGTTGTTGGGAAGGCGCCAGCGATCAGCTCAGACTTCCAGCGTCCTGCTGAGGATAGATCGTCCTTGGAAGGGCTCGTCCTGTGAATTATTTATGGTGCAGAAGTACAGAGAATGATATTGACCTTAATACATAAAATGGAGCCAGGACTGCATTCCGAGTCAATGCTGGCCCAGCCGCGCTGTTTAAAGGGGACCTGTCACCAGGACATGCAGCAGTTCACTTGCAGTGTCTGGATTGGTTATATGGAAACTTAGGGGCGGCCAATGCTAACCTCCTTTGAAAATGCTCTTTGCCTGGCTGTCAATACTGGTATGCAATAATGAATAGTCTTTCCTACACGTGATGCACTGGAACATGCAGAAAAACACGCAAAAACTGCGCTTCATCATGTGACCCGAGCCCAATGGTGGCCGGACACGCCTCCATTTTATTACCTGATTAGCGGTTCAGTCAGAAACAAATGAATCTGAAATCAATCAAACTGATGATGGCCACGCCCTTCAATACATGATCTCCTCTGACAGCCAATCGGATCAATATGACACACACAGGGAAGCGGAGAATGATTGAAAGGGGGGGGGGGGGGGGGGGGGGGGGGGGGGGGAGAGGGGGGGTGGAGAGGGGGGGAGAAGGGGGGGGGGGGGGGGGAGAAAAGGAGGGGGGGGGGAAAAGGGGGGGGGGAAAAAGAGAGGGGGGAAAAGGGGGGGGGGAAAAAGGGGGGGGGAGAGAGGGGGGAGAGGGGAGAAAGGAGGGGGGGGGGGGGAGAAGAGAGAGAGGGGAGGGGAGAGAGAGGGGGGGTTTTTTTGGGGTTGGGGGGGAGGGGGGGGAGGGGGGGGGAGAGAGGAGGGGGAAAAAGGGGGGGGGGGGGGGGGGGGAAAGAGGGGGGAAGGGGGGAGAGGGGGGGAGAGAGAGGGGGGGAGAAAAGGGGGGGGGAGATGGAGGGGGGGGAGAGAAAAGGAAGAGGGGGGGGAGGGGGAGGGGGGTGGAGGGGGGGAGAGAGAGGAGGGGGGGGGGGGGGGGGGAGGGGGGGGAGAGGGGGGGGGGGGGGATGAGAGGAGGGGGGGGGAGATTAGGGGGAGAGATGGAGAGGGGGGGGAGAGAGGAAAGAGAGGGGGGAGTGGAGGAGAGAAAGAGAGGGGGGAGAGGGGTTGAGGGGAGAGGGGAGAGGGGGAGATGAGAAGCGAGGGGGGAGAGAGGGGGGAGAGAGGGGGGGTGGGGGGAGGGGGGGAGAAAGAGGGGGGAGAGGAGGGGAGAGAGGGGGGAGTGGGAGAGAGGGGGGAGGTGTGGGGAGAGGGAGAGGGTGAGGGAGGAGGGGGGGGGAGAGGGGGGTGAGAGGAGGAGGGGGGGAGAGGGGGGAAGAGAGGGGGGGGAAAGGGGAAGAGAGAGTGGGGGGAGTGAGAGGGTGGGAAGAGGGTGGAGGGGCCAGAGAAGCGGGGGGGAGAGCGAGGGGGGGAGAGGCGGAAAAAGAGAGGGGGAGCGGAAGACGGGGAGGAGAGGGGGGGATGGATGGTCGGGGGAGGGGAGGGGGGAAGGGGGAGGGGGGGGGGTGGGAGAGGGGGGGAGGACAGAGGAAAGGTGGGGGGAGAAGAGGGCGGGGGGGAAGAAAGGACTAAGGGGCAAGGTAATAAGAGGGGGGGTGGGGGGGGGGAAGGTGGAAGGGGGGGGAGAATGGTGGGAGAGGGGGGAGAGAGAGAGGAGGGTGGGAGGAGGGGAGGTGGGGGCTCGCAGAGGGGGGGGGGGGGGGAGGGAAGGGGGGGGGGGGAGGGGGGGGGGGGGGGGGATCAGGGGCTGGGAAGGGGGGGGGGGGAGGGGGGGGGGAAAAGAGGGTGAGGGGGAGGGGGGGGAAGGAGAGGGGGGGAGAGGGGGGGTAGGAGAGGGGGGGAAGGGGGGAGGCAAATCTGGGGCAGGGGAGGGGGGGGGGGGGGGGAGATGGGGGAGAGGAGAAAGGCAGGGGGGGGTGGGAGGAGGGGGGTGGGGGTAGCAGGGGGGATGGGGAGGAGAGGGGGCGGGGGGGGGGGTGGGAGGGGGAGGAAGGGGGAGGGGGGGAGAGGTGTAGGGGGAGGGATGGGGGTGGGGGAGAGAGAGAGGGGGGGAGACTGGGAGGGGGGAAGATCATAGGAAGATGAGGGGGGGACTGAGAGAAGGAGAGGGGGGAGAGAAGAAAGAGGGGGAGGGAGGAGGGGGGGAAAGGGGGGAGAGATCTGGGGGGGGTTGTGGGAGAGGGGGGGAGAAAGGGGGGGACCGGGGAGGGGGTGGGAAAGAGGGGGGGAGCAGGGGGGGGGAGAAAGGGGCGGGGATGAAGGGGGGGAGAAGAGGGGCGTCGGGACGGGAGGGGTGGGGGAGGAGTGAGAATGGGAGGGGGGTGAGTGGGAGTGAGGTGGGGGGAGAGGGGGTGAGAGAGTGGGGGGGGGGAGGGGGGGGGGGCTAGACTGGGAAGCGGGAGGGGGAGGGGATAGGAGAAAAGTGAGAGAGGACAAGAGGTGGGGAAGGGGAGACGGGGAGAAGAGGATGGCCGGGGGAGATAGAGGGCGGGAGTAGGATGAGTGGAGAGAGGGGGGGAGAGAGGGGGGTGGATATTAGGAGGAGGGTGAAAGATTGGTGGGGATGAGAGGAGGGTGGAGAGAGGAGTCAGGCGGGGGGAGGGCGGAAGGGGACGGGAGTGTGGGAGACCGGGAGAGGGTCGAGGAAAAAGGGAGAGAAGGAGAGAGATCGGAAGGGGGAGAGAGTGGGGGGGAGGGGGAAAGATTATAGGAGGATGGCGGGAAGGGGGAATAAAAGGGTAAAGAGGGGGGATGGGGAAGGGGGTGGGGATGACAAGAAGGGGGGGAGGAGAAGATTAGAAAGAGGAAAGAAACGAGCGAACGAAAGAGAGATGAGGGAAAGGGGAATGTTGGAGGTTTTGGATGAAAGTTCAGGAAACAGCATTCCTAAGTGCTGGTTGATACAGAATCAAATGAATCCATCGTTTTTTGCTCTCTGGCCAATCCACTCAGTTTTAATGTCATTCCAATCAGTTGGGTCTTATAAAGGTGGAAGTTGCTCAGGCAGTGGTTACGCAGGGGTGTGTGGCCACTACAATGGATATAGGGGAGCATTAATGCCACTAAAATAATTAAGTCGGACAGAGTTAGACATCAGGGGGGGACCGACATGAAGGATGGTAAGGCCCCGGGCAGGGGGGGGGAGTCATGCTGCCACCTGAGATCCTTGCCTAAAACTCAAACATGAGGGTATGAAAAGGTAACCAGGGGCTCGTGAAAAATGGGGCCCCTACTGGACCGCGGCCCCTACGGGCAGTGCCTGACGCTTGCATCCCAAGGTGGTCAGACCGCCCCTGGTTAGAATATAAAAGCCTAACTAAAGAAGCTCTTCTGATTCGGATCGGGGACTCTGTAGAGTATTGTCTGAGCAACTCATCTTTCTTGAATCTGTTTACTAAGGTCTTGCTGTGAGATCCCGCCAGGTGACCCCATTCCTTGTTCCAGAGCTTGGACAAACACTGAGCCCACCACCTGCTGGGGGGGAATGACTGAGATCTGAACAGGGGCAGAACAGGAACGCGCTGGACAAAGCTTCATGGAGAAGAGTGCTTTGGGGGGAGGGTGTTCAGCTAGCCAGAGGCCGGGTGGTGTTCAGGGGGAAGTTTTGCAAGGGAATAGTGAAAACGAACGGCTAGTTTCAATCCGAACCAATCAGAGTTGAAAGCAAAAGGACCTTTTCTTATCCCCATCACACAAGATACGGATTGTATACGGTAGACTTTGCGTGAACTCCGGGGAGTAATTTATTTCTGGACCAATAGAAAAGTAGTTTCAAAGGTTTTAGTTTTCGAATGTGGGGACTTTTTTGGATATGGATCTCTTGAAGCAGGGGGCAATATACGAATTGGATGTTGAAGGATGGTACGTTTATGTGAACATTCATACGAGGGGGGTGGGAAACTTCTCAGTTCATTGGGATGACGAATGTGGGTGAATTGGAGACTATATGTTCAAGATTTCACTTCATTTGGGGTAAAGTTCGTTATTGGGTTTATATGAAGGAAACCACAGGAACACTGCTAGATGAATTTGGGAGAAACATGTGTTGCCCCACTTGCTTGTCACTGCGGTTAATTAGGGACGAGGGAACTTTGATGAGGTGACCCCACAACTGATCAGATCGAAAAAACTGAAAACTTTCGACCAGTGTATGGCTTTTAGGTTGGCTCAAAGCGATGTTCATTTCTTTGATCAACATTTTGGAATGAAACCTGTTTAATATGGTTGGGAATCCATTTCAATCGTAGAAAGGTTGGGGACTTGGTAGGGATTTTGGGACATTGAACCAGATGAGTCAATGACAAGGAAGAATGTTCTGACCAATGGGATTTCCGAATTTCCGTACAAATGGTTGAGGGGGGCAGTCTTATCGTGGAGTGGTTAGCCACACCACCTGGAAGAGGACTCAGTTACCAGCTTCCACACAATGACATGCGCACTGTCATTTGCAAATCTCATTGGACTCATATGTCATAGAGGCTGTGTGATTGGCCTTCTATGTCTTTTAATATAGGGGCACATGTTGGAGGACAGAGCTCATGAGATGTGATTGAAGGATGGGTAATAGCTGAGCTGATATGGGATGCTTCTGGAACCATGGTGACCCTGGGAGATCCTTTCCTGATCAGTTCTGTTCCAACAAAACAATAATTAATGTCTCCGGATGAAGGCCAATGAGTCGTTCTAGTCTTGTTGGTAGGCCTTGTCTGTACACTGCAGTCCGTGGCCGGTCTCTTGGGGACCTACTGTCTTACAGGGGGCATGCTTGGACGTGATACGGCCACACGAGACCTGTGTCGCAGTAAGCGGCAGATAGAACATTAAATCGGGTCCATTTGGGGCGCGGGGAACTCTGCGACAGAGAACTCCGTGGTGTTGTAATGTCTGAGGACTTCCACATTGTCCAGCTCCTGCGGTCAGCAAAGGGGGACATCCATGTATAACTAGATGAAGTGGGCTGAGTCGGACATTGGTCTACCGCCCCAAAAAACTTTAACCCCTTCCGCCACAGACTTGTGGAAAAGGCAGAGTCAGCAGGAAATCATGAACCAACAGAACTTTCATGAAAGGTGCCCTGAGTGGCGCAAATTCATCAACCCATCACCACGATGTCGGAGATGAAAACTGGGAGATGGAGGGGAAGAGTTGAGGAATATCTAGAATGACGTGGGATGGGATGTCAGGAGTTGAGGAGTCTCGGGGTGGTGATGTACGGTCTCCGGAATGGCGTGTATGTACGGTACTGTGGGGGGGGTGATGTACGGTCTCCGGGGGTGATGTTATGGTATCTGGGGGTGATGTACGGTCTCCGGGTGTGATGTATGGTCTCCCACTGGGGGTGCCTGATGTACGGACTCTCCTGTGGGGGTGATGTTACGGTTTTGGGTGTGATGTACGGTCTCCGGGTGTGATGTACGGTCTAAACGTGTGGGGGGTGATGATACGGTTCCGGTGGGATGCGGTCTCCGGGGGTGATGTACGGTCTCTGGGGTGATGTATGGTCTGGGGTGTGCTGGGAATGGTAATTGGGGGTGGTTTGATCGGTACTCCGGGGGTGATGTAATGTGTATTGGGGGTAATGGTTCCATTCCCGTGTTTGGGGTGATGTATGGTCCTTGGTAGGTTTTTTGGTGGTTCTGTCTGGGGTGTGATGTATGGTCTCCGGGGGTGATGTATGGTCTCAGGCAGGTGATGTATGGTTCTGGGGTGTGATGTATGGTCTATTCGGAGGTGATGTCGGTCTCTGGGGTGTGATGTATTACATGGTCTCTGGAGGTGGGATGTACTGTCTTCCGGGGTGATGTACGGTCCCCTGGGGGGTGATGTACGGTTCTCCGGAGGTGATGTTCGGTATCTTCTGGGGGTGATGTGGTCTCTGGGGTGTGATGTATGGTCTCTGGGGGTGTGATGTATGGTCTCTGGAGGTGATGTATGGTCTCTGGGGGGTGATGTTTTGGTCTCTGGGTTGTGATGTATGGTCTTGGAGGTTGTTGGTTATTTTCCTAATGTGAGCTTTGGGGTATGGTCTCCAGGGTGTATGTACGGTCTTGGGGTGATGTATTGTCTGCGGGTGTGGTTTATGGTATCTTGGGGGTGATGTACGGTCTGGGGGGGGTGGTATGGTTCCGGTTGTTTTGTTACGGTGTCCGGGGGTAGTTTGATGTATGTGGTCTTTGGGGTGATGTACGGTCTTGGGGGTGATGTTGGTTCCGGGTGTTTGATGTATGGTATCTGGGGGTGTTTTTTATTTTCATTTTGAGAGGTTGGTTTGTTTTTTGATTTGTATTGGTCTCTGGATTTGTGTTTGTGGTCTCCGGGGGTGATGTACGGTCTCATCGGGGGTCGGTTGTACGGTCTCCGGGGGTGATGTTACGGTCTCTGGGGGTGATGTACGGTCTCCGGGGTGATTTACGGTTGTTTGATGGTACGGTTGTTCCGGGGTGATGTTACGGTCTGGGGTGATGTACGGTCTCCGGGGTGTGTGTGTGTCGGTTCTCCGGGTGTGAGTGTACGGTCTCCGAGGGTGATGTACGGTCTGGTTTGTGGGGTGATGTACGGTCTCGGTCGGTTGGTGTGTATGGTGGGGTCTGGGGTGTGTTCTCCGGGGGTGATGTACGGTCTCCGGGGGTAATGTACGGTCTCAGGGGGTGTGATGTACGGTCTCCGGGGGGTGATGTATGGTCTCCGGGGGTGATGTACGGTCTCCAGGGGTGATGTACGGTCTCCGGGTGTGATGTACGGTCTCCGGGGTGATGTACGGTCTCGGGGGTGATGAATGGTCTCGGGTGTGATGTATAGTCTCCGGGGTGATGTACGGTCTCCTGGTGGTGATGAATGGTCTCCGAGGGTGATGTATGGTCTCCGGGGTGATGTATGGTCTCCGAGTGCAATGTATGGTTTTGTTCAGTCATTTTTTTATCATTTCTGGACATTTCTGGTCATTTCTGGTAATTTTCAGTTGTTTCTGGACATTTCTGGTCATGTTTGGACATTTTCTGGTCATGTTTGGTCATTTCTGGACATTTCTGGTCATGTTTGGACATTTCTGGTCATGTTTGGTCATTTCTGGTCAATGTTTGGTCATGTTCGGGTCGCCCATGTTCGGTCATTTCTGGTCATGTTCGGTCATTTTCTGGACATTTCTGGTCATGTTCGGTCATTTCTGGTCATGTTCGGTCATTTTCTGGACATTTTGGTCATGTTCGGTCATTTCTGGTCATGTTTGGTCATTTCTGGTCATGTTCGGTTGTTTCTGGACATATCTGGTCATCTTTGGTCATGTACAATCATTTCTGGTCATGTTTGGACATTTCTGGTCATGTTCAGTAATTTCTGGTCATGTTTGAACATTTGCTGGTCATCTTTGGTCATTTTTGGTCATGTACAGTCATTTCTGGTCATGTTTGGACATTTCTGGTCATCTTTGGCCATGTACAGTCATTTCTGGTCATGTTTCAGTCATTTCTGGACATTTCTGATCATGTTCGGTCATTTCTGGTCATGTTCGGTCATTTCTGGACATTTCTGGTCATGTTCGGTTATATTTCTGGACATTTCTGGTCAATGTTCGGACACATTTCTGGACATTTCTGGTCATGTTCGGTCATTTCTGGTCATGTTCGGTCATTTCTGGACATTTCTGGTCATGTTCGGTCATTCTGGACATTTCTGGTCATGTTCGGACATTTCTGGTCATGTTCGGTCATTTCTGGACATTTCTGGTCATGTTCGGTCATTTCTGGACATTTCTGGTCATGTTCGGACATTTCTGGTCATGTTCGGTCATTTCTGGTCATGTTCAGTGTCCTTTCTAGTCATTTCTAGGTGTGTCAGGTGACTTTTTTTCCCTCCTGGCTCCTCCATCGACATACGTCAGACCCGTATTGGGCTGATGCCCCTTTTGGGTGGAAGGGTTAAGTTTGCCCGGTGAGTCCCCACAGAGCGCAGGGAACTGGCATAGAAAACACGGTTCAGGAGTCACAATGATGAAATTTGTCATGCGTGACTTTCTGTGGCATTGCAGCTGGCACAACGGCTTACCCGCGCTCTGCGTATGAGAGATGCCAGCTGCTGCCTTGTTTACTGAGCAGGAGTGGCACACGCATGCCCCCTGGCATCCCCTGAACCGCGGCCTGCTCCCCCTCCGGGTACTCTGCGCCCTCCCAGAGGGGCCCTCTCATCATGTCATCTTAGATGTGAACAGACGTACCATGGGAGCATACACATCCCTTAACAAGACTGCAACATGGACTGTCTGTGCTGCACGTCCTCTCTCTGCTGAACGGGCGCTTGTAGATATATTCATACACTGAATCCATTCCACCATCTCCCTGTATTCACTGACCTATCAGTTATGTAGATTCTGCAGTACAGCCATTGCTTGTTGCCTGGCTGTGTGTGACATCATCGCTTTGCAATCATGAAGCCAGTGAAGGCTTGTTACCAATAGTGACTCTGAAGCCAGGGCATCAGCTTAAAGCGTCCTTCAGCTGCAGACTGGGGGTGCTGAATGTAGATCATGATGGGGGTGCTGAATGTAGATCAGGATGGGGGTGCTGAATGTAGATCAGGATGGGGGTGCTGAATGTAGATCAGGATGGGGGTGCTGAATGCAGATCACGATGGGGGTGCTGAATGTAGATCACGATGGGGGTTGCTGAATGTAGATCACGATGGGGTGCTGAATGTAGATCACGATGGGGGTGCTGAATGTAGATCAGGATGGGAGTGCTGAATGTAGATCAGGATGGGGGGGTGCTGAATGTAGATCAGGATGGGGGTGCTGAATGTAGATCAGGATGGGGGTGCTGAATGCAGATCACGATGGGGGGGTGCTGAATGTAGATCAGGATGGGGGTGCTGAATGTAGATCAGGAGGGGGGTGCTGAATGTAGATCAGGATGGGGTGCTGAATGTAGATCAGGAGGGGGGTGCTGAATGTAGATCAGGATGGGGGTGCTGACTGGCCCTTTAAACAAGTTGTCAGCTTCATGATATGAACAGATTCCAAGTGCGCTGCACTCCTCCTGCGGCCGCTGGCCACTCTCTGCACACGACGCTCCGCAGAGCTCACTGCAGCTCCGCCATTATATAATATTGTCCGCGATTTAACCTCAACTTGTCTGAACTGCAGCATTCCGCCTCTTATATAACCGCAGACGGCACCGCCGCGCACAGCGAGCTCCCATGACATCATCCGCTATCACAACATTTCCACCAAAATGCCCCCCGAGGATCAGCTCAGACCCCCCCAAAGGCCTTATGTGGGGCAAACATGGAGTGCAAAAGGTCAGCGCCCGGGAAAGCCAATCAGAACATTTCCACCGCGGAGGAAGCAATGCAAGGCGAATCCACATAGAAAGATATTAGATCTGTGATGCGGGTGCAACAATATGCACGATGATCCCCCCCAACACTGACCCTCCCTGTAACCCCAACACTGACCCTCCCTGTAACCCCAACACTAACCCTCCCTGTAACCCCAACACTAACCCTTCCTGTAACCCCAACACCGACTACCCTTCCTGTAACCCCAACACTGACCCTCCCTGTCACCCCAACACTAACCCTTCCTGTAACCCCAACACTGGCCCTCCCTGTAAACCCCAACACTAACCCTCCCTGTAACCCCAACACTAACCCTCCCTGTAACCCCAACACTGACCCTCCCTGTACCCCAAACACTGACCCTCCCTGTAACCCCAACACTAACCCTTCCTGTAACCCCAACACTGACCATCCCTATAACCCCAACACTGACCCTCCCTGTAACCCCAACACCGACCCTTCCTGTAACCCCAACACTGACCCTCCCTGTCACCACCCCAACACTAACCCTTCCTGTAACCCCAACACTGGCCCTCCCTGTAACCCCAACACTAACCCTCCCTGTAACCCCAACACTGACCCTCCCTGTAACCCCCAACACTAACCCTCCCTGTACCCCCCAACACCGACCCTTCCTGTAACCCCAACACTGACCCTCCCTGTCACCCCAACACTAACCTTCCTGTAACCCCAACACTGGCCCTCCCTGTAACCCCAACACTAACCCTCCCTGTAACCCCAACACTGACCCTCCCTGTAACCCCAACACTAACCCTCCCTGTAACCCCAACACTGACCCTCCCTGTAACCCCAACACTGACCCTTCTTGTAACCCCAACACTAACCGTCCCTATAACCCCAACACTGACCCATCCTGTAACCCCAACACTGACCCTCCCTGTAACCCCAACACTGACCATCCTGTAACCCCAACACTGACCCTCCCTGTAACCCCAACACTGACCCTCCCTGTAACCCCAACACTGACCCTCCCTGTAACCCCAACACTGACCCTTCTTGTAACCCCAACACTAACCGTCCCTATAACCCCAACACTGACCCATCCTGTAACCCCAACACTGACCCTCCCTGTAACCCCAACACTGACCCATCCTGTAACCCCAACACTGACCCTCCCTGTAACCCCAACACTGACCTCCCTGTAACCCCAACACTGACCCCCCTGTAACCCCAACACTGACCCTTCTTGTAACCCCAACACTAACCGTCCCTATAACCCCAACACTGACCCATCCTGTAACTCTAACACTGACCCTCCCTGTCACCCCAACACTAACCCTTCCTATAACCCCAACACTGACCCTCCCTGTAACCCCAACACTGACCCTCACTGTAACCCCAACACTGACCCTCCCTGTAACCCCAACACTAACCCTCCCTGTAACCCCAACACTAACCCTTCCTGTAACCCCAACACTGACCCTCCCTGTAACCCCAACACTGACCCATCCTGTAACCCCAACACTGACCCTCCCTGTAACCCCAACACTGACCCTCCCTGTAACCCCAACACTAACCCTCCCTGTAACCCCAACACTAACCCTCCCTGTAACCCCAACACTGACCCCCCCTGTAACCCCAACACTGACCCTCCCTGTAACCCCAACACTGACCCTCCCTGTAACCCCAACACCGACCCTCCCTGTACCCCTAACACTGACCCTCCCTGTAACCCCAACACCGACCCTCCCTGTAACCCCAACACTGACCCTCCCTGTAACCCCTAACACTGACCCTTCCTGTAACCCCAACACCGACCCTCCCTGTACCCCCAACACTGACCCTTCCTGTAACCCCAACACTGACCCTTCCTGTAACCCCAACACTGACTGTTTCTGAATCACTCCACCCAGGACTGATGGGGGTTCAGATTTGGCCCATTTAAGCCCCAGAACTCTGAGGCAGGGAGAATGGCCTTCCACTGCAACCATTCCCTTCCATACAAAGAGAAGGGTGATGGGGTCTGTTGAGTCTCCCAACCTCTCGGCCAATCTCTCCTGGTGAACATGAGCTCCACCAACACTGAAATGTCCTTGTTACTGGCCTCTAGGACAATGTTCCTCCAACCTCCTTCCTCAGGTTCCACCAACAGTCCATGCTTTGGGAATTTCCCTCAGATAAAATGGCTCTCATGAATACCAAGCCATTGACCATGATATACAGAACCTTGGCCAATCCTGGAGACCTGACCTGTTGGGGGTACTTGTGGACTGAGGTTGGGAACTGCTGCTGTAAACATTACATACGTGGCTCAATCATCTCATAGTGCCCACCACCCACCACCTTCCCACCTTCGCCACCTTCACCACCATCGCCCATCCACCACATTCGCCACCTTCGCCACCTTTGCCACCTTCGCCACCTTCACCACATTCGCCACCTTCTCCACCTTTGCCACCTTCATGGTGATGGCCAGCCCAAGATTCCACCATATTAAATGGCCTCTCGGCATCAAAGTATTTTTGAATGCTCTTGGTACATGGATAGCCAATTATGCTGTGCCCCCCCCCCACACACACAGCACTGGACCCCCACACTGTACTGGTTCCTTCACACAGCACTGCCCCCCCCCCACAGTACTTGGCCCTCCATGCAGCACTGGGTTCTCCACACAGTACTGGGCCCCTCACACAGCACTGTGCCCCCCCACTCAGTACTGCCCCCCCCCCACACAGCACTGGACTCCCACACAGCATTGGGCCCCCCACACAGCACTGTGCCCCCCACTCAGTACTGCCCCCCCACACAGCACTGGACTCCCACACAGCACTGTGCCCCCCCCCCACACCGTACTGCCCCCCCCCCACACACACACAGCACTGGGCACCCCATAAAGTACTGGGCCCTCCACACAATACTGGCCCTCCCTCCCACAGTATTGAACCTCCACACATTACTGGGGCCCCCCACACAGCACTGGGTCCCCCCCCACTCAGTACTGCCCCCCCACACAGCACTGGACTCCCACACAGCACTGTGCCCCCCCCCCCAGACACATTACTGGGCCCCCCACACAGCACTGGGCCCCCAGAAGTCACGCTGTCATCTGTGTTCAGGATTTCTATAAGTAGCTAGAAGAAGAGTCTCATGTAAGTCCTACAGACACCCCGATGGGCAAACATCTCAAAAAGTAACCAAAAACCCCCAAACATTTCATCAGATACTTCTCTTCCCTCCTAGAACTGAAACCAACAGAGAACAAGTGGCCCCTCCTGTCGGACCCCCACAAAGGGGGTCTTCCACACCATCTCTGGGGATCCCAGAATACTCCTCGGTCTCTGACCGATCCGCCACTTGAACAGCGCAAACCGCACAAAGATCGATTCACACGCAGGACCCCGAAATGTACAGACAAAGAATCGCAAACAAAATATATACCAAACCGTAAAAAAAAAAGATACAAGGAAACAAAACATGGCAGAACGGGGCCCGATTCCCTTCCATCGCAGAACGGGGCCCGATTCCCTTCCATCGCAGAACGGGGCCCGATTCCCTTTCTTCGCAGAACGGGGCCCGATTCCCTTCCTTCGCAGAACGGGGCCCGATTCCCTTCCTTCGCAGAACGGGGCCCTATTCCCTTCCTTCGCAGAACGGGGCCCTATTCCCTTCCTTCGCAGAACGGGGCCCGATTCCCTTCCTTCGCAGAACGGGGCCCGATTCCCTTCCTTCGCAGAACAGGGCCCTATTCCCTTCCTTCGCAGAACGGGGCCCGATTCCCTTCCTTCGCAGAACAGGGCCCTATTCCCTTCCTTCGCAGAACGGGGCCCGATTCCCTTCCTTCGCAGAACGGGGCCCGATTCCCTTCCTTCGCAGAACGGGGCCCGATTCCCTTCCTTCGCAGAACGGGGCCCAATTCCATTCCATCGCAGAACGGGGCCCGATTCCCTTCCATCGCAGAACGGGGCCCGATTCCCTTCCTTCGCAGAACGGGGCCCGATTCCCTTAAATCGCAGAACAGGGGCCAATTCCCTTCCATCGCAAAACGGGGCCCGATTTCCCTTCCATCACAAAACGGGGCCCGATTCCCTTCCATCGCAGAACGGGGCCCGATTCCCTTCCATCGCAGAACGGGGCCCAATTCCCTTCCATCGCAGAACGGGGCCCAATTCCCTTCCATTGCAAAACGGGGCCCGATTCCCTTCCATCGCAGAACGGGGCCCGATTCCCTTCCATCGCAGAACGGGGCCCGATGGGCAGTAAACGCGTCCTTTGCTCAGGTGAGGCCATTGCTGAATCTCCATTTTTCCGGAACGCGTATCTTTTCCCCTCCAGCGGCGCCAAGAGATGGGCGGTCCCTATATAAAGCCCACGCTGCGCACATGAAATTCCAGCGTGACCTCAGAGGACGCCACACACATGGAGGCAACGGGGAGACCATTGGGAATGGCAGGCAACACCTAGGGACGGGGATGGCAGGCAACACCTAGGGACGGGCATGGCAGGCAACACCTAGGGACGGGCATGGCAGGCAACACCTAGGGACGGGGATGGCAGGCAACACCTAGGGACGGGGATGGCAGGCAACACCTAGGGACGGGGATGGCAGGCAACACCTAGAGACGGGGATGGCAGGCAACACCTAGAGACGGGGATGGCAGGCAACACCTAGGGACGGGGATGGCAGGCAACACCTAGGGACGGGGATGGCAGGCAACACCTAGGGACGGGGATGGCAGGCAACACCTAGGGACGGGGATGGCAGTCAACACCTAGGGGACGGGGATGGCAGGCAACACCTAGGGATGGGGGTACCTTAGTGATGCCGTTCACTTAAAGTGTTTTTTTTCGGGGGGGGGGGGGGGGGGTTGCTGACACAAATCAGTAAAGACGCAGACCTTGCGCAGGAGGACGATGCCCGCAGGCTGGGGGGGCAGGAGGATGATGCCCGCATGCTTGGGGGGGCAGGAGGAGGATGCCCGCAGGCTGGGGGGGCAGGCAGGAGGATGATGCCCGCATGCTTGGGGGGGCAGGAGGATGATGCCCGCAGGCTGTGGGGGGGCAGGAGGATGATGCCCGCATGCTTGGGGGGGCAGGAGGAGGATGCCCGCAGGCTGGGGGGGCAGGAGGAGGATGCCCGCAGGCTGGGGGGGCAGGAGGAGGATGCCCGCAGGCTGGGGGGGCACACAGAATTGTGGCACGCAGCGATCTCATGCCTACCTCTCCATGTCGCCACGAAAAGACTTTAATCCCGAAAGCTGCGCCGGCGATTAAGTAGGAAAGGGTCAGCATGTCCTGAGTGGGGTGACCGGGACCCAGAGGAGACTGGCGCTGCCATTACCCGTCTCTGCCATTCATCTGCTCTGCCAGGCTTCCCCGTCTCTGCGATTCATCTGCTCTGCCAGGCTTCCCCGTCTCTGCGATTCATCTGCTCTGCCAGGCTTCCCGTCTCTGCCTGGCACATTAACAACGCTCAGCTGCCCTTCGAATCAGAATCCAGGGACTGTGCTGGAAAGGGGGAGGCGGGGCTTCAGGTCCTTTTTTTTTTTATTTTTATATAGTGGTGACATTCCATTTACTGCCCACTCTGGGCCCCCCCCACACGCTGCGCCCCCCCCACCCACACACGTGTTCGTACAATGCCACCATTCTCTGCCCATTCATTGCTCTGCTGGGACACGAGAGGTTAATGTTCTGCTGCTCACAGGCGGCACGAGGAGCGACTGCAGCCCAACGCTACATGAACCCCCAAATGTCACATACAGGAGAGCTTGTATCACCCCCAAATGTGCCGACTAATGCCCCCCCCCCACTGTGTACCACTGAAATGCCATCTCTGAGCTCCAATCTGGTGACTTTGGTGACGTCGTCAGTCTGCTGCAAGCAGGAGGAAGCATTTCCCGAGTCTCCCCATTATATGATCCCCCCCCATTATTTATTATACAGGATTCATATATCGCCAACAGTTTGTGCAGCGCTGTACAATGGGAGGAAAAACACTCCAATCAGAGGGCCCTGATCCTAGGAGCTTACAATCCAATAATGTCCCAGGACACCCTTCCTGAGCACAGGGATGGTGGGAACCCCTCATAATGGGCACAGGGATGGTGGGAACCCCTCATAATGGGCACAGGGATGGTGGGAACCCCTCATAATGGGCACAGGGATGGTGGGAACCCCTCATAATGGGCACAGGGATGGTGGAAACCCCTCATAATGGGCACAGCGGGTGTACAGACCCGGGAACTCAGCACAGGGATGGCAGGAACCCCTCATAATGGGCACAGGGATGGTGGAAACCCCTCATAATGGGCACAGGCATGGTGGGAACCCCTCATAATGGGCACAGCGGGTGTACAGACCCCCGGAACTCAGCACAGGGATGGTGGGAACCCCTCATAATGGGCACAGGATGGATGGTGGGAACCCCTCATAATGGGCACAGCGGGTGTACAGACCCGGGAACTCGGCACAGGGATGGTGGAAACCCCTCATAATGGGCACAGGGATGGTGGGAACCCCTCATAATGGGCACAGCGGGTGTACAGACCCGGGAACTCGGCACAGGGATGGTGGGAACCCCTCATAATGGGCACAGCGGGGTACAGACCCGGGAACTCAGCACAGGGATGGTGGGAACCCCTCATAATGGGCACAGCGGGTGTACAGACCCGGGAACTCTGCACAGGGATGGCGGGAACCCCTCATAATGGGCACAGGGATGGTGGGAACCCCTCATAATGGGCACAGGAATGGTGGGAACCCCTCATAATGGGCACAGCGGGTGTACAGACCCCGGAACTCAGCACAGGGATGGTGGGAACCCCTCATAATGGGCACAGCGGGTGTACAGACCCGGGAACTCAGCACAGGGATGGCGGGAACCCCTCATAATGGGCACAGGGATGGTGGGAACCCCATAATGGGCACAGCGGGTGTACAGACCCCGAAACTCACCACAGGGATGGTGGGAACCCCTCATAATGGGCACAGGGATGGCGGGAACCCCTCATAATGGGCACATCGGGTGTACAGACCCTGGGAACTCAGTATGAGGGGTTCCCACCATCCCTGTGCTGAATTCTCAAACAGCATAAACACACTGAAAAAAGCCCCAAAGATCTGTTCTGCCAATAGGAAACAACCTTCATCCCGTCTCTGACATTAGATCCCTGGAGGCCACCTACAGTCATGGCCGAAAGTCCCCCCCCCCCCAAATTTCTGTCCGATAACGCCCCACTTCACTCAGACAAAGGTTCCGGCGATCTCATGTTTATTTCTTTGGTTTCTATCGATGACACACAAAAAAAAAAATCAAATCTGACCCATTCCACGCAAAACCCCCAAAATGGACAGAATTATTGGCACCTTCTCCACATTGTAAGAAATAATTGGGTTCCCAGTCTGTGATGTTCCTGTAATTTGTCATTAGACTCCTCCCCATCCATGACCGGGCGCTGACAACCGAAATCACCGACAACCAGGGACAATGGGGACACATGGCCTCCACCTTCCTGTTGGGTCTCTGAGGGCCACATGGAGCATGGAGGAGAGGAAGAGCAGCAAAGAATTGTCTGAGGATTGGAGAACAAAGATGGTGGAGAAGCATGGACAACCTCAAGGTTACAAGTCCATCTCCAGAGGTCACGGGTCTCCATCTCCAGAGATCGCGGGTCTCCATCTCCAGAGATCGCGGGTCTCCATCTCCAGAGATCGCGGGTCTCCATCTCCAGAGATCGCGGGTCTCCATCTCCAGAGATCGCGGGTCTCCATCTCCAGAGATCGCGGGTCTCCATCTCCAGAGATCGCGGGTCTCCATCTCCAGAGGTCACGGGTCTCCATCTCCAGAGATCGCGGGTCTCCATCTCCAGAGATCGCGGGTCTCCATCTCCAGAGATCGCGGGTCTCCATCTCCAGAGATCGCGGGTCTCCATCTCCAGAGATCGCGGGTCTCCATCTCCAGAGATCGCGGGTCTCCATCTCCAGAGATCACGGGTCTCCATCTCCAGAGGTCACAGGTCTTCCAGCAGGACAATGACCCAAAGCACACGTCACAAAGCCCCCAGAGATGGTGTCAGACAAAGCGCTGGAGAGGACTGAACTGGCCAGGAATGAGTCCAGATCTCCATCCCATAGAGCTCCTGTGGAGAGATCTCAGAACAGCAGTTGGGGAAAGGAACCTTCCAATCTGAAGGACCCGGAGCAGTTGGGCAAAGGAACCCTTCCAATCTGAAGGACCCGGAGCAGTTGGGGAAAGGAACCCTTCCAATCTGAGAGACCCGGAGTGTTGGGGAAAGGAACCCTTCCAATCTGAGGGACCTGGAGCAGTTGGGGAAAGGAACCTTCCAATCTGAGGGACCTGGAGCAGTTGGGGAAAGGAACCCTTCCAATCTGAGAGACCCGGAGCAGTTGGGGAAAGGAACCCTTCCAATCTGAAAGACCCGGAGCAGTTGGGGAAAGGAACCCTTCCAATCTGAGGGACCTGGAGCAGTTGGGGAAAGGAACCCTTCCAATCTGAGGGACCCGGAGCAGTTGGGGAAAGGAACCCTTCCAATCTGAGGGACCCGGAGCAGTTGGGGAAAGGAACCCTTCCAATCTGAAAGACCCGGAGCAGTTGGGGAAAGGAACCCTTCCAATCTGAGAGACCCGGAGCAGTTGGGGAAAGGAACCCTTCCAATCTGAGGGACCCGGAGCAGTTGGGGAAAGGAACCCTTCCATTCTGAGGGACCCGGAGCAGTTGGGGAAAGGAACCCTTCCAATCTGAGAGACCCGGAGCAGTTGGAGGAAGAAGAGCGATCCAAAATTCCAGGAGAGAGGTGGAGGAAACTCATTGATGGTGACAGGAAGACGATGATTTCAGGGATTCCTCCAAGGGGTGTGTGCCACCAAATATTACATGGAGGGTACCAATAATTCTGTCCATTTTGGGGTTCTGCGGGGGATGGGTCAGATTTGGCTTTTTGATTCTCCACTTTTATGTGTCACCGATACAAACCAAAGACAGAAACATGAGAACGCCGAAACATTTGTCATGGCAGCGATTTCCTGGGTGAAGGGGGCGTTATCGGACAGAAATGGGGGAGGGGGTGGAGGGAGAGGGGGTGGGGCAATGTCTTTGGCCATGACTGTATCCCCTGCAGCTGCATGTGGCACATATTGTACCCCCCCCCCCCCCCCATACAGCAATCTGCATTCCTATGACTAGGTGCCTTCATAGCCCAGTGAGGAAAATGACTCTGACTGTCTCCTGTATTCTGCAGTCTCTGGTCATCCCCTGTACTGTGTCCGCAGTCTCTGGTCATCTCCTGTACTATGTCTGCAGTCTCTGGTCATCTCCTGTACTATGTCCGCAGTCTCTGGTCATCTCCTGTACTGTGTCCGCAGTCTCTGGTCATCTCCTGTACCATGTCCGCAGTCTCTGGTCATCTCCTGTACTATGTCCGCAGTCTCTGGTCATCTCCTGTACTGTGTCTGCAGTCTCTGGTCATCTCCTGTACTGTGTCCGCAGTCTCTGGTCATCTCCTGTACTATGTCTGCAGTCTCTGGTCATCTCCTGTACTATGTCCGCAGTCTCTGGTCATCTCCTGTACTGTGTCCGCAGTCTCTGGTCATCTCCTGTACCATGTCCGCAGTCTCTGGTCATCTCCTGTACTATGTCCGCAGTCTCTGGTCATCTCCTGTACTATGTCCGCAGTCTCTGGTCATCTCCTGTACTGTGTCCGCAGTCTCTGGTCATCTCCTGTACTGTCCGCAGTCTCTGGTCATCTCCTGTACTGTGTCTGCAGTCTCTGGTCATCTCCTGTACTGTGTCCGCAGTCTCTGGTCATCTCCTGTACTATGTCCGCAGTCTCTGGTCATCTCCTGTACTGTGTCCGCAGTCTCTGGTCATCTCCTGTACTATGTCCGCAGTCTCTGGTCATCTCCTGTACTATGTCCGCAGTCTCTGGTCATCTCCTGTACTGTGTCTGCAGTCTCTGGTCATCTCCTGTACTGTGTCCGCAGTCTCTGGTCATCTCCTGTACTGTGTCCGCAGTCTCTGGTCATCTCCTGTACTATGTCCGCAGTCTCTGGTCATCTCCTGTACTATGTCCGCAGTCTCTGGTCATCTCCTGTACTATGTCCGCAGTCTCTGGTCATCTCCTGTACTGTGTCTGCAGTCTCTGGTCATCTCCTGTACTCTGTCCGCAGTCTCTGGTCATCTCCTGTACTATGTCCGCAGTCTCTGGTCATCTCCTGTACTGTCTGCAGTCTCTGGTCATCTCCTGTACTATGTCCGCAGTCTCTGGTCATCTCCTGTACTGTGTCTGCAGTCTCTGGTCATCTCCTGTACTATGTCCGCAGTCTCTGGTCTTCTCCTGTACTGTGTCCGCAGTCTCTGGTCATCTCCTGTACTCTGTCTGCAGTCTCTGGTCATCTCCTGTACTATGTCCGCAGTCTCTGGTCATCTCCTGTACTGTCTGCAGTCTCTGGTCATCTCCTGTACTATGTCCGCAGTCTCTGGTCTTCTCCTGTACTGTCTGCAGTCTCTGGTCATCTCCTGTACTGTGTCCGCAGTCTCTGGTCATCTCCTGTACTATGTCCGCAGTCTCTGGTCATCTCCTGTACTGTGTCTGCAGTCTCTGGTCATCTCCTGTACTATGTCCGCAGTCTCTGGTCATCTCCTGTACTGTCCGCAGTCTCTGGTCATCTCCTGTACTGTGTCCGCAGTCTCTGGTCATCTCCTGTACTGTGTCCGCAGTCTCTGGTCATCTCCTGTACTGTGTCCGCAGTCTCTGGTCATCCCTGAACTGTCCGCAGTCTCTGGTCATCTCCTGTACTGTGTCCGCAGTCTCTGGTCATCTCCTGTACTGTGTCCGCAGTCTCTGGTCATCTCCTGTACTGTGTCCGCAGTCTCTGGTCATCCCTGAACTGTCCGCAGTCTCTGGTCATCTCCTGTACTGTGTCCGCAGTCTCTGGTCATCCCTGAACTGTCCGCAGTCTCTGGTCATCTCCTGTACTATGTCCGCAGTCTCTGGTCATCTCCTGTACTGTGTCTGCAGTCTCTGGTCATCTCCTGTACTATGTCCGCAGTCTCTGGTCATCTCCTGTACTATGTCCGCAGTCTCTGGTCATCTCCTGTACTGTGTCTGCAGTCTCTGGTCATCCCTGTACTGTGTCCGCAGTCTCTGGTCATATCCTGTACTGTGTCTGCAGTCTCTGCTCATCTCCTGTACTGTGTCTGCAGTCTCTGGTCATCCCCTGTACTATGTCCGCAGTCTCTGGTCATCTCCTGTACTGTGTCTGCAGTCTCTGGTCATCTCCTGTACTATGTCCGCAGTCTCTGGTCATCTCCTGTACTGTGTCTGCAGTCTCTGGTCATCTCCTGTACTGTGTCTGCAGTCTCTGGTCATCTCCTGTACTGTGTCTGCAGTCTCTGGTCATCCCCTGTACTATGTCCGCAGTCTCTGACCGTCTCCTGTACTATGTCTGCAGTCTCTGGTCATCTCCTGTACTGTGTCCGCAGTCTCTGGTCATCTCCTGTACTATGTCCGCAGTCTCTGGTCATCTCCTGTACTATGTCTGCAGTCTCTGGTCATCTCCTGTACTGTGTCTGCAGTCTCTGGTCATCTCCTGTACTGTGTCTGCAGTCTCTGACCGTCTCCTGTACTATGTCTGCAGTCTCTGGTCATCTCCTGTACTGTGTCCGCAGTCTCTGGTCATCTCCTGTACTATGTCCGCAGTCTCTGGTCATCTCCTGTACTATGTCTGCAGTCTCTGGTCATCTCCTGTACTGTGTCCGCAGTCTCTGGTCATCTCCTGTACTGTGTCCGCAGTCTCTGGTCATCTCCTGTACTGTGTCCGCAGTCTCTGGTCATCTCCTGTACTATGTCCGCAGTCTCTGGTCATCTCCTGTACTATGTCCGCAGTCTCTGGTCATCTCCTGTACTGTGTCCGCAGTCTCTGGTCATCTCCTGTACTGTGTCCGCAGTCTCTGGTCATCTCCTGTACTGTGTCCGCAGTCTCTGGTCATCTCCTGTACTGTGTCCGCAGTCTCTGGTCATCTCCTGTACTGTGTCCGCAGTCTCTGGTCATCTCCTGTACCGTGTCTGCAGTCTCTGGTCATCTCCTGTACCGTGTCTGCAGTCTCTGGTCATCTCCTGTACTGTGTCCGCAGTCTCTGGTCATCCCTGTACTGTGTCTGCAGTCTCTGGTCATCTCCTGTACTCTGCAGTCTCTGGTCATCCCCTGTACTATGTCTGCAGTCTCTGGTCATCTCCTGTACTGTGTCCGCAGTCTCTGGTCATCTCCTGTACTATGTCTGCAGTCTCTGACCATCTCCTGTACTGTGTCCGCAGTCTCTGACTGTCTCCTGTACTATGTCTGCAGTCTCTGACTGTCTCCTGTACTATGTGGAGCTACAGTTGGATTTTTCAGACCCTCCCCTGGGGACCCCCTCTCTCCAGTAGGGGGCGTATTTTGGGGCCTCACCTTGAATCCGATGTCGCCCTTCTTGCAGCACAGACAGGCCAGCATGAGGAAGATGATGGTGATGAGTCCGGAGAAGGAGACGACCACCACGGCCAGCGAGGACGGCCAGGACAGCTCACTCAGCAGGGGGCCATCTGGAAGGAGAGCAGAAAGGTGAATGGAGGGGAGAAATCCTTCATCTGTCAATAGAAATCTTTCTGTGGTCACAGACAGGCAGACCGATCCTGTACATCGATCGCTCGCTGAGGACTCCCCCTCCACCCCAGGAATATAGACGCTTCCTTGTTCTTGGGTGCAATGCTGATCCCAAGTCTTCAATGACTGGAATGCCGTATTTCACTTGCTGCATGCTTGTTCCTTGCCTGTCACTCACACAATCGACACCAGAGACAGCCAGGCAACTAGCATCTTCAGAAGGAGATCAGTGCAGCCAGCAATGGAAACTTTACTCATACTAGGCTTCCAGTGACGTATACGTGAACCCCGGGGGCTCATTTACACTGGTGGTCGGGGGTGGTAAAAACACATGGTTGACCTGCATTTTTACTGCCCCCCAATGTCTCTCCACTGAGTTGCAGAGGGCGGGTGGAGGTGTGCACATGCTGCGGCTGTGATTTTCCCCCTTGGCAGTAGAATCTGTGCAGTGGTGTGGATACTAAGGGGTTAAAACAGGCAGTGACGAGGCAACATAGCCCCTCCTCCTCGACTGTCCACCCCCCCCACCCCCTCTGAGCACCGTTTATCTAACAATAGCCACACTTCTATAAAATGAAATAATTGTTTCCACTTTGTCGCATTTGAATGCTGCAAATTCCTGCGGCTTGTTTGCAGCCACTTCCTGTCTGCATGTGCCCCCCTCCCCCCCCATGGGCTCACGGCGGGTCTTCCGAGGGCGACAAGAGTGGACAGTGGATCATGTCTTTGTATGTATTCATCGGAAACTCATGTAATGGGGTGACTACACTGAAGCACATTTGGGAGACGAGGGCAGAGCGTTGTCACCCAATAACAGGAAGTGACCTTTGAGGTGGGCGGGGTCACCAGGGATCACTTCATGATAAGCTGCAGATCTGAAGATGTTGCAAGTGACAAGAACAATTGAAAAGTTTGAGGAGTTTGGGGAGGGGGGGAGCAGTCACATGACTTTCCATATTTAGCTGATGATGTCACCATTGTCTCCGCCCCCTTCCCTTATATAACGGATGGGAACTCAGGGAGCCGGCATTTGGCTATTGGTATTGTTGGGTTGGGTGGTGTGTGCCAGGTCATGATTGTGACCTCTGTGACCGAGCCCCAGTGGGTGGGGTGAAATGCATCAGAGGGCGTGGTCAATACGGCGGCTGATGCCATTCCTTAACATTGGACTCGTGGGGTCGGCTGAGCGGCGTTCGTCCTTTCACTTGTCATTGATATTAGAGTCACAGTCAGGGACTTTTTGGGGGGAATTTGGCAGATATTTGGTGTCTTTATTTCCTTTTTTTTTTTTTGTGAATAGGGGTACTATGTTGGGGGGGGGCAAAAATTCTTATAGGCCCCCCCCACCCACAGACCCCCATAAACACTGGCCAGGGTTGGGGGGAAGTGTTGTCGGGGAGGAGGCCTTTCCCCTTGGCAATTCACCCACCCATGTTGATGCCACATGACCTGGTGTGGTTTAGGGGTAAGGAGGGGCATTGCTCACCGCTCCCCCCCCCCCCCCCCCCCCATTTGTGTCCAGCCAGGCTGCATGCTTGGATGAAGGCTCTGGTATGGATTTCCTGGTTGTGTGAGGTCCATGGCAGACTGGGCGGCTCTGAGTGGGGTGTATTTCGGGTTCCCTGGCTCTGGGTGGGGTGTATTTCGGGTTCCCTGGCTCTGGGTGGGGTGTATTTTGGGTTCCGTGGCTCTGAGTGGGGTGTATTTTGGGTTCCATGGCTCTGGGTGGGGTGTATTTCGGGTTCCCTGGCTCTGGGTGGGGTGTATTTTGGGTTCCGTGGCTCTGAGTGGGGTGTATTTCGGGTTCCCTGGCTCTGGGTGGGGTGTATTTCGGGTTCCGTGGCTCTGGGTGGGGTGTATTTCGGGTTCCCTGGCTCTGGGTGGGGTGTATTTCGGGTTTCCTGGCTCTGGGTGGGGTGTATTTCGGGTTCCCTGGCTCTGGGTGGGGTGTATTTTGGGTTCCGTGGCTCTGAGTGGGGTGTATTTTGGGTTCCGTGGCTCTGGGTGGGGTGTATTTCGGGTTCCCTGGCTCTGGGTGGGGTGTATT